CTTCCGCCTCAGCCTTCCGAGTAGCTGGAACTACAGGCGCGCGCTACCACGCCCAGCTCATTTTTGATTTATTGTAGAGATGAGGTCTCGCCAAGTTGCCCAGGTGGGTCTCGAACCCGCGGGCTCAGGCAATCCACTCACCTCAGCCTCCCAAAGGCGTGGGATTACAGGCTGAGCCACCGAGCCCGGCGGAATTTTTTAATATCTGAGAGTGAGACTGCCCTAGTGTCTAAAAGTACTTGGGAGGTAGTTGAGGCTGAGGCTGGAGATCACATGGAGCATGTCAGAGAGCAATGATGAGAGAATAAAACTCTTTTATGTTTATACTCTGCGATGGTTAGTCGGGTGTGGTGGCTCATGCCTGTAGTTCCAGCTACTTGGAAGGCTGAGTGAGAGGGTTGCCTGAGCCCAGCAGCTTGAGCCTGTGGTGGCCATGAGCATGCCACTGCACTCCTGCCTGGGCGACAGAGTGAGACTCCAACTCAAAATATAAAAATATAATAACCTGTACAGTAGAAGTTTGATCTGTTTCATAAACCAGTTCCATACAATAACATAGTGCAGAAATTGCTAAGACTAGGGGAGATTTTCATCCTGTTGTCTACTTGACATATTGATCTGGTGGAGCATTGATCTCTTGAATGTGAAAATTTTTTTTCTCTTGTATGGCTAGAAATATGTGTTGCGTTTTCCATTTGAGTCAAAAGAGAATGGAAGGGAAAACTACAATGTATGAAGCGACTAGAAAGCTACTTGAATGTGGGGAGGGATTTTTCAGCGTGGTCTTTCATTCAACACTTTTTTTTCCTACTCCTTTTGCTCTCTCTATGCTACAAGAACCAAAGAAAACAGCTACATGTAGGACAACATCAAATTCCCCTTCAGAGTCAGGAGTAGCTAGACAAGAAGAGTGAAAAAGCATCATGGAAAGGCTAGACACAAGGTTGGGAGGGAAATCTAGAGGAGAGGTATGCTCTGTAGTGTATGTCACGTTCTAGAAAGTTCTGTGGCCTCTCCGTTGTTCAGGTGGGCTAGGTGCCTAGGTGTGACGGCACAGTCAACAGTGGAGACTTCTCACTGTGAAGATACCTTGAATTGCCAACTGCAGAGCTGTGAGTCAAGAAACTAGGCTCTGACGACTTCAACAAACTTATGTTTAACCTGAAAATGTTTCTTTAATATTGAAAGATCTGCTTCTGAGTGATTGCTACGTTGTACATTTCCATTTACTAAAGAAATGACTCATTTAAATTAATGATGGAAGTGATAATAGCAATAATAAAATGGCCGCCAATACTGAGCATTTATCATGTGCCAGACGCTATGCTAAGCTCTTTACATGAACGATCTTATGTACAGTGGTTTCCAAAAAAGTAGGTTGTGGTATTATCCCCTTTGTATAAGTGAGAAAATTGAACCTTAAATTACGTATATATCCTGCCAATGTCCTTACTGCTATTAAATGGAAAGGTAGAACATTAATCCAGATCAAACTCTGAATTATAGGTAAAACTTTGTTCCTGTAAAACATACATATATGCATTTATACATATGTATATCTATGCGTGTATATGTGTGTGTGTGCATATATATAAATATGCACAATTCATTAACATCTGAAATACAGAAACTGCAAATACTGAGACTGACAACTTTGGAGAAAATAGAAATGCTATGCTATAGAGAAGACCCAAACTTTCTGAATGACAGGTTACATAGTTAATGCTGTCATCTCTCTTTTTCATTTATCTTTCAATGCTGTTAAAAATAGTAACTTATATAGAATATTAAAATTCAATTAAATAAGAAAGTTGTTGTTGCTGTGTGCACTTTACATGTTTTTCCATTTCTACTGTAGTGTATATTTTAAATTCACTTCCCAAAATGTGACTTTTTCTTTTGCGTGTCATCTTTTTAAATAATAAAGCATTTACATTACTTCATCCCAAATGTCTATATTTTAACTTGGTAACAGCAACATAATTCAAATATTAAACACAAGGTTATCTCTATCATCTATCTATCATCATCATCGATCTAATCTTGAAGTAAAACTTATAGGAAAGTTACACCATAAATAAATAAATAAATATAAATGTACATAAAAGTAAATATATTTATATTTGTATTAGCATTTTGACATCCTAAGAAGTTGGACTAAACCAATTTATCCTATCTTTAGTGACCACCAAGGGTGTTTTCATGACTGGAAATTTCAAAAATACACTCTAGAGGAAAATTGCAAGAAAAAATTCTGTTTTTTTAATGCATGGGAAACGAGAAATTCTAAGACAGAAATGCTTTATTGAAGCTGCTTTGGAATTCAGGAGATTCTATTAAATAAGAGAATCGTAAAGATGCATACAACTTTCAACTCAACATCCCTGATGTGAGACCTTTCCTCTCCTAAGCAGTTCTGTCAATTTTCAAAGTTTAGCTGGCCCATCAGAATAGGATCATCTTTTAAAAGACAGCAAATGTACCTAACAGAAGCAGAGTGCGTCGTTTGAGAGGCTGTCTCAAGATGTTAGTGTTCCATTTAATCTGTGCTGCCTGAGAAAACAAACACAGACTCAGTGCTTGGTTCAACACCACTGGCTGCTCTGGTCCTACGTGGCACCGAAGCACAAGAAACGTGAAACTAGGCAACACGAGCCTTTCTGAACTCACTTTCGAGGAAAGCACTTCGTGCATTTTTCATGCCATTTCCCTTCTCTTCCACAAGATTTTAATGGACTAAAGTATGTCATGTGTATAGAACTCGTAATAAAATAGAGAGACAGGCGATACATGATTGAGGTAGCTGCGGAAGTAGACGGGGTCTTTTAAAATGCATCATCCGAATACAATTTAGCTTGAAATGTAAAAGTGTTTTTGCTAAAATGCTTTTTAATAGCATGAGGAGATTTGCGCCATAAAAAGTTTGAGAGGATGATTCATCCCAAATGGATTATTTATTTTTGAAATGAATATTTATAGAGAGCTTCTGAATTAGGCGGTAATCTTTGCCTTTGTTTAAACACAATTAACAATATGCAAAGTGAGGCAGTGCTTTTCAGAAAATATGGGAGCGTAAGTACCACTGTTGGTAGTCGTTTCGATGTTGCACAGTGAGTGCATAAAATGAAGAACGGCTAACCTGTTATGCTCTTAATTAATGAACACCTGTACACAATGAAAGCGTGGCTGATTTTATGGTTGCGTGAAAATCCAACCAGGCAATTAATGTTCAATTTAGAATTCACACTATTGGAAAGGTAGCAGAAAAAGCAACTCATAATCGGCAAATTACCAAAGTAGAAAAGTTGAATTTTCTGTGGATGAGTCTCTCTCAACATTTTAGGCTATTTTCTCTTTTATTTTCTTGGTTGTTTAATTTTTATATGGGAAAACTCTGAAGATCTGTTGTGTGGTTATTTGCATTTAATGCAATAAATTGACCAGTTTCAAATCTTCTTTCTTTCATTCCCCGCAAAGGACCAGATATAATGTGCATTAGAGAAAGAGTCAACTGTTTTTGATAGTTTATTTTCATGATTATAAGCTTTGTTTAATTTGTTAGAAGTCAAAAGTCACATTTTTGGTCCAATTCTATAATACGAAATGGAGATAGTTAATTCTTAGTCTTGTACATACATGTGTCTCTGACTTAGGTACTGGTGTGAGTAGGGGCATATAAAGCAAAGACAAAGAATGTTCCCTTTAAAAATATTATAGTCGGGCTCGGTGGCTCAGCCTGTAATCCTGCGCCTTTGAGAGGCTGAGGTGAGTGGAGCCTGAGCCCGCGGGTTCAAGACCCGCCTTGGCAGTGAGACCTCATCTCTACAATAAATCAAAAAATCAGCTGGGCGTGGTAGCGCATGCCTGTAATTCCGGCTACTCTGAAGGCTGAGGCGGAAGGATCGTCAGAGCCAAGTAGGTCGAGGCTGCGGCACTCTAGTCTGGGTGACAGAGTGAGACTCCAACTCAAAAAAAAAAAAAAATTATACATTGGGCACCAGTGTCAAACACTGTCCTGGGTACAACTAAAGAACAGTGAGCAAATAAGAACACTCTTCATTTTCAGCATCCTTTTGTTTGAGACTCATATATTATCACTGAGCATAAAAAATTAGCATTTTTTTCCTCCCTGTATCTGATTCCTACTCCTCCTCACATTTCGCGATTGTTTTCACATTGTTCTCATCAACACTACTGATGTCTGTGTTCCCTTAACTAAATGGCTTACCAGATACATTCTTAATATATCATCTTATATGGATATAAAAATAGATCTCAATAAGACTTTGTCCAAAGTAATAAAAAACGACTAAAATTTTTTTCTTTTTTCTTTAATACTTTATTCTTCTGCCCTTTCTGGGTGATAGGAAGGATATCTTAAAATACGTTTTAAAGTAAAGCTGTTAAGTCTTCTTATGTGGTCATTAGAAACATTTACTCAGAGATACTAATAGTAATAGACTTATTCTGAGATGCTTATCCTGTGGAAGAATGTTGTGTTTTCTAAGTAAGGAAGCAGATGGGTTTTTATTTTGCACATCAACTTCAAGAAGGTAGTAGGTCGAGGAAGGGCTATGTTTGCTTTTGCAAAACGCAATTTATGAAGATTAGGTGGTAAAGAGCAACATAAAAGAGTCCCAGGGAAGTACACTGTAATTAAAGAAAAGCGTTATCACTGGGGCAAAAGGTGAGCTTGTCTATTCTGAATTGCACGGATATGCTATATTCAGGGAGCATATTATTCAAAGAATACATTAACTGCTTCAATTTCAACTTGAAGATAGATGCAAGTGTTGGGAGAGAATTGAGCATCAAGATGGCTGTATTTGTGAAAACAAGGAAAAAAGGTGCTGAAAACCGATAAAATAATTATTTCCAAGGAAATGATGTACTGATTTCTAGGTAAGTGAATCAGGGTAAATTCGACTAAGGGTTAACTCAAGTTGCTTTCAAAGGGGTTAGAAGCATGCCAAATCCAGTTGGACTCTCCCGATTTTTACCTGCTTCATTTGTGCGGATCATGCGAGACGGGGTGCTTGGATCTCCAGTTCCAATGGGATTGGTGGCCACCACTCGAAACTCATATTCTACCCATGGATTCAGGTCCACAGCCATGGCTGACTCCATGTCTCCCGTTATGACTTCTGGGACTGTAGAGAGAAAGGAGGGTTCATGTCATCAGGAGAACTGGGAGTGTGCTACAAATGGTAATCAAGATATCACTGCTCCTGAAATCAGCAGGCTGTTGCATACTTCATGACACACGGTCATGGTGTCACCTCCAGTGTCACTAGTAAAATGAAAAATCAATCTTCGGGGAGTAAGGACTTGAATATGCCCACATTTGTTGGAGTTAATTGGAATTCTTTTATCTTATCTTTACACATAACTTGCCATTATCTACACTAAAAATCATTTCATCAACCCCTCAACCCAAGATAAGACACCAAGTAGAACTACAGTTTAAACACAGAATTTTCTCCCATTTCTAGGAAATTTCTCTGGAAGTTTGCTTCTTCCAGTTCTGGCAAAACGTTTAGTCACTTGATAGCTCCGAGCAGCAAATTAAGAATATAGCCCTCTCATTAAAATGCACGGCTTAACTGTATATCTGACAAAGGCCTAACATCTAGGATCTACAAGGAACTCAAATGTGCTGAAAAAACAAAACAAAACAAATAGCCCCATTAAAAAGTGGGCAAAATATATGAATAGACATTTCTCAAAAGAAGAGATACAGGCAGCCAACAGACATGAAAAAGTGCTCAGTCTCACTCATCATCAGAGAAATGCAAATCAAAGCCACATGGAGATACCACCTAACACCAGTAAGGATGGTCATTATTAATACAACAAATGACAACAGATGCTGGTGAGGATATGGAGAAAAAAGAACACTTCCATATGACCCAGCAATTCCTCTATTGGGAATACACCCAGAGGAACTCAAATCATTCTACAAAACAGATACCTGCACACGTATGTTTGTTGCAACTCTATTCGCAATAGGAAAAACACAGAACCAACCATGCTGCCCATCGAAGCCGAACTGGATAAAAAAAAAATGTGGTACATATAATGGAATATTATGCAACCATAAAAAAGGACAAACATATGAACTTTGCAGCAACTTGGATGGATTTAGAGTCGATCATACGCAGTGATCTATCACAGAAATAAAGAACAGAGCACCATATGTTCTCACTCATAAGTGGACCTTGAACAATTATCATGATACTGTAAGAAAGGGATTGGCAGTAGTGGGAAATGGCCCGGGTGGGTGCGGGGCGGGGGGGGGGGGGGGGGGGAGGGGGATGGGATTGGCAGTCGAGGGAAACTGCCAGGGAAGGGAGGGGCACACCTCGTCAACAAGGGTACCTGCATAACGAACATTTGTATATCTAACCATAAATCGTACCCCACATCGTTGAAGTAAAATAAAATAAAAACAAGGCTTGTGGTCTCGAAGTGGAAGCTCTGAACCCTCCTTAGAGTGACATTTGTATAGTGTTTAAATTCTTGCTAAAGCATCAAATTGTTTGTCAATTCAATCATCGTGAGTGAAGGAACTATTTCTCAACATTTGTTACAGGCGTGTAAAGTCAGAATGTGGAGAATCTCCCTTAGGGTGTACAAAGGTCCTCTGGATCTGTACCAGTCCTGGACTTCCATGTAAGCTCTTGATTTCATGACTCCATTACTATGGCAAGGTGGCATTCAATCATTGTGGATTTTTCCATAAAAATCTCTTCTGAAAGGTAGCAAAGGAATGTTACCAAGTGAGCAACTCTGGGAAAGGTGAACGAGCGTACGCAGTGTGGACTGCCTGGCAAATGCCACAGCACTGCAGAGCTGATTTTTTTTTTAAAGCAGTGACTTGAGATGTTGAACAAACTCTGTGCCTCATGCTGCATTGACAGTTGAGCAGGATCTCCGGAGTCTAAGTGGGGCGGGGAGCACTGTTCAGTCCTTAGCTTGGGTATGCTGTTACCCTTGACAAACACGAAGGTGGGAAGAAGGGATGCCTAGACACCCAGCCCCCTTTGATCCCTAGCCCCATTGCATCACCACTACCTGCCTTGGATCCCAGGACTAACCTCACTGCTCAATTCACTTCTATTTATGTCAGTCATCTCAAGAGACCCCAGACATCTGGGTCATCCTTACCCGTTTGAGTCTAACCTCCAAGAATTCTGCATATTTCCTCTGCCCAGCTGATACCCCTCCCTAATTTTTGAAGTTCTTCCACTGTGACCCTTGGAATTCATGACTCATCCTTAGAAAATCCCTTATATACACGCTCTTCTCGCTGAATATTCCTCCAGCTTTTTTCTCTAGTAGAAACTGAGGGAATGTGACCCTTCTTAAGGGGTAGTCTTCTTAAGATACGGTGGGAAAGAAGACTGCTCTCTTGCTCCTCCGCATGTGACTTTATGGATGTTTCCCATCAACATACATGCACACAGGTGTTTTTTTTCCCAGCAAAACAGAAACTAAGCTCTCTTAACATTTCATCTCCTCCCAGCCTTCACCCAGTTTCTCTGTTTCTTTAATAGCACAACTTCTTGAGAGCTGCGTGTGCTATTACTTACTGTCTTGATTATTTCCTTCCCATTCTCCCTTAGACCAACTCCAGTCAGGCTGTTGCCTCCAGTTTTCCACCATACTGGGTCCAGTTAAGATGACCATGGTCTCTGTTACTGAAACCTTATAGTCAGGTCCCTGTTGCTCATTTTATTTGACCTATCATCATTCTTTGACACAGGCAATCATCCTCTGAAAGACATTCCAAACCGAATGACTATTTCTCTTCCACCTGACCATGCCCTATCAGTGTCCGCTGCTGGCTTCTTTTCACCTTCCAGATGCAACTCGGTTCTACAGACCCCTTTCCAATTTTCTACTCTGTGGTGATCTTATCCAGTCTCATGGTTTTAAATACGCTCTCTATGCTGAAGACCTCAGTATTTTTAGCCATGAACCTCTTCCCCAGAATCCAGGCTCATGTATTCAGTGACTCACTAGACATTACTATTTGAATAGGCTTCTGTAGTATTCTTTTTTTTTGAATTGGAGTCTCACTCTGTTACCCAGACTGGAGTGCAGTGGCTGCTCCCGGCCACTGCAGCCTCGATCTGCTGGGCTCCGGCGATTCTTCCGCCTCAGCCTTCCAAGTCGTTGGAACTACAGGCGTGCGCTACCACGCCCATCTAATTTTTGATTTATTATAGAGATGAGGTCTCACCAAGTTGCCCAGGTGGGTCTCGAACCCGCGGGCTCAGGCAATTCACTCACCTTGGTCTCCCAAAGCACGGGATTACAGGCTGAGCCACCGAGCCCGGCCTGCCTCTGTAGTTTTCTTATTTAGGGAATGAAAATCGCTTTCTTACAGCAGCCCAAATCGTGAAGTTGTCTTGGACTCCTCTCTTGCTTCTTTGTCCCTCTCCAATCCATCAGCAAATTATCTATGCATTCATGACTTCCGGGCATCTATGACTTCCAAATATGTTGATTTCTCTACTCCTCTGCAACAAACTTCTTGTTTTTTTTTCCATTTTTATTTTAAAGATATAGGGTACAATTCAGGGTTAGGTATACAAATGGTGAGTCGTCTCTATTAATTTTTCTCCCATTCTCTCTCGAACCTATTCTTGTCAGATTCCACGAAAACTGCTATTGTCAAGGTTACCAATGATCCCCGTGCTGCTAAAATTAATGACAAATTCTGAGTCCGAATTTTGATGTGTGAGCAGCATTTGACACAGTTGAGTCTCTATTTTTTGATGGACTTTATTCTTTTGTCTTTCAGGACATCACATTATTTTGGTCCCCTTTTTGCTTCAATGACTGTTTTCTTTGTCTCCTTTTGCTGTTTCAACTTCTTACTATCGGAATGCCCCAGGGTTCAGTTTGTATACTCTTCTTTTTATTTTATTTTCTTGGAGTTGACATGCAATCTCATGCTTTAAAACACCATTGATATGCCAACAATTTTCTAATTTATAACTGTATCCCAAACCTCTTTGTTAAACTCCTAACTCATATATCCAAATGCCTACTTGAAATCCCTATTTGGATGCCCAATAGATGTATCAAACTTAGTATGTTCCAAAACAAACTCTTCATCTTCTTCCCACCCCGATCTGTTCCAATCATGAAGTTTTCTGCATGGCAGATGATAGTAACTCTATCTTTGAGTTGGTTAGGTCAAAAATCTTGTAGTCTTCCTGGAATTATTTTTCTCCCAAGCTTTTTATCTAGTTTGTCAGGAATTCCTGTGGGTTCTCCCTTCCAAATATTTTCAAATTTGGAGCATTTTTATGACCTCTACTTCTGTCAATTTGAATTGTCACCATCTCTCAACGATAATAGGTTCCCAACAAGTTTAGGTTGGTTTCATTCACTTACTCCCCTGCTAGCCTGATTTCAATATCACTTGAATGACAGTGTTGGAAGATAAGACTTAGAACAGACCTCATCTCTACAATTAAATAAAAAATTAGCTGGGCATGGTAGCACACGCCTGTAGTTCCAGCTACTTGGAAGACTGAGGCGGAAGGATGGCTGGAGCCCAGCAGGTCGAGGCTGCGGTGGCCAGAAGCGGCCACTGCATTCCAGTCTGGGTGACAGAGTGAGACTCCAACTCAAACAAAAAAAAAAAAAAAAAAAGAACAGCAAGCAATCAATGGCTCTCCATTTCTCTCAGGCTAAAAACTCAGGTCCTAAATGACCTGGTCCTGCCAACATCTCTCCAAACTCATCTCCTACCTTTGTCCCTAAAACTCATTCTGCTCCTGTCTCGCTGGTCTTCTGATGCTCCTGCGTCGGAATGCTTCTCATACTTTTGCACTGGTTGCTCCTCCTGCCTGGGCTGCTTCTCCCCATATATGGGCATAGCCAAATCCATACCGCCTTCAAAATTCATTCAAATGTAACTTCTCAATAAGGCATACCCAATGATGCTATTTCAAATTGCAATCTGGGTGCTATGGATTGAATTCTGTCTTACTGAAATTCACATTGTTGAAGTCCTAACCCCTAACGCAGCTGTATTTGGAGATAAGGCTTCTAAGGAAGTAATTAAGGTTGAAGACACAGGTGGGGCTCTGATCTTAGTGTCCTTTTAAGAAGAAACACTAGAGTGTATGCTGTGTTTGTGTGTGTGTGTGTGTAAGTCATGTGAGACAATGAAAAGGTAGATATCTGCTAGCCAAGAAGAGAGCCTCCACTAGGAAGTGAATTGGCCATCACTTTGATCTTGGAATTCCCAACCTCCAACCTCTAAAACTATGTTAAAATAAATTTCTGTTGTTTAATACCCAATCTATGGTATTTGTTATGGTAGCCCAAGTTGACTAGTACACTGTCCTTTTCATAGTACTTCTGATTTCTCTTATTCCACATCAATCATGGTCAATCATGTAGAGTAAGAGACTTACCTCACTCTCCTCACTGTTTCCTTAGTACTCATCAATTTCTAAGATGCTGTATATTTTACTTACTTATTTTTTTCTCTGTTTATTGCTTATCCTCACCCATGCCAAAACAGATCTTCACAAGGAGAGGGATTTTTTTTTTTTTTGCTGTTATTGTTCACTGATATACCCCAAGTGCCTAGAACACTACCTGAAAAGTGCTCAGTATATTTTTATTAAATGAATTAGAGCTCAAATTGCTTGGTGTGATCAAAATTGGCAATGATAATTTCTGTTTTAATTTTGATGCAATTCCTATAGGCAAGAAAAGAAAATACATACAAAAATATTCTTCCTTCCAAGGCTACATGAATTTATAGCCTCTTGGTCATTACTGTAGTTGTAAAGACTCTGCCAACTCCACATTCTCCCCATCACATGTAATTCTAGTCTATCTTTAAAATGAAAAAAAAGGGTAATTCTAAAAGTATAGTTACTTGCACAAGAGTTGAAGTTATTAATATTTTTGACCAAATAACATGCAATACGAAATAAACTAAGAAAAAACATTTAAAAAATAAAATCAGTATTTTGATTTAAAATGTGATAGTGTGTAGATAAAGGATAATGACAGAGTCATACCAAAGTAAGTATATTTCAGTCTTGCAGCATCTTTTGCAGCAACTTGGTTTCAAATAAAATAATGTGCTTCAGAGAGATCATGACAGTGACCAGATAGTGGAAGGTTTTATGTGGATTCAGTAAAGAATCTTATTGAAATGGCTTTCCTAGTAAAATAATCATATCCAACAATTTAATGAATAAAATACTAAATAAACTTAACCCATGAAAAAATTTAACTAGCCAATCAATTTGAAGGAAATATATCCACAGATAGAAGGATGCTTAAGAAACAAATCTGAGTTAAGTAATCAAAGACCAACAGATTTTATGATTGTGTTTTGATAGTCTGAAGCAGACCCAGTCACAAACGAGGTCAGATAATACTGCTCAGTAGTGTGAAGAAGAAAGTCAAGTTTTCAAATCAAAAGCAATTTGTTCCAAGAGAAAAGAAATCTGCAAGTGAAATTATCTATTTGTGATGGCTGTTTTCACACTTTTTTTCAAAATGAATGCATGATTCCCACTTCCACTCTCATTTGCAGGGGCAGTGTTCATAAGTTAATTTCAGGATGTGCTCAGCTAGAAGGTTCATGTGCAATGTATTACTTCATCTGTCAAAAATGAGGAACTCACTCTTCTTTATAGTTGCTTTGGTATGTAAAGGGATTTTAAGTGCTTCGCAAACACTAGATTATGCATTGCATTGCCATGTATCAGTCTCACCACGAATAAGACGGTAGTTTTGGGGTGGAGGTTATCAGAATTCTCGAATAAATCTGCTCAAGTGTTTGTTGGGTTTCATGGTTGCTGCACTCAAATATGTCCACCGGTTCCTATATTTTACTTCTAAACAGGTAGATCAATTTTAAAGTAAAGTGAAAGCACCAATTTCTACTCAGTATGGACAAGTGCTTCTGAGGATTCTATTCTGTAGACCTATTTGTGTCTTTCCTGAATTAACTACCATACCCAGGGATGAGGTGAACACTCACAATTACATATGTTGCAAAACAAATACGTTAGTATGCATGATAAGTATGTACATATGCCACAATGACTATTAAATAGAGGTCTAACAATGCAGGAGCCTAAATATCAAGAGAAATCTGAATTATATTCCACATGTAGATAAATATATCTTCTCTCCCCACAATTATAACATTGTACACGCAAAAAAGTTTCTGCTCAAATTTCACTTGCCTAAACAACAAAACGAACCACTCCACTCCCATAATATTCTGTTGGGTTCTATGGTGGCTGCACTCAAATTTATGTGACTGATTTCTATATTTTACTTCTAAACAGGTGAATCAATTTTAAAGTAAAGTGAAAGTACCAATCCCTACTCTGTATGGACAACTGCTTTGCTGAGGATTCCATTCTGTAGACTTATTGTAAACTTTTGAAATACCCACATGTTCAATAAGTATTTAATAACTACCAAGTGATTGTGATTGAACTTATCCCTGATGGATAGCCACATTTGAAGAGACAGAAGTTAAGTTGTAGTATGAAAAGAAAACCATTAGAGATGGAAGTGACTTTTAACATAATGTAACAGTCATGCAAACATCATAGAAGCAGGCATTAAATGTTGCACTGCTTTAAGTGATGTAATTCTATGTTGGATTTTCTTTTTATAGATGAAACAGGTATGCGACTACAAAGGTGTGGCACAAGAAACTGGGCTCATGAAATTGTTTAATATCCCGATTATCTTGGTGGTTACTTGAATCTACATAACAAAATTTCATAGAAGTTCATAGAACTACATACTAAAAAACTGCCTATTGAAACTGGCAAAATTCTAATAAGGCATGGAAGTTTAGTTGATAGCACTGCACTGCCATCAGTCTCCTGATTTGGTAATTGTGCTGTGGTTATGAAACACGTTGTGACTGGGGATGGGTCCCCAGGAACTCTTTATACTATTTTTGCAACTTCTATGTGAGTCTCAAGCCATGTCAACAAACAAACACACGAATGTGATGTGGGAGTTGAGAAGAAAGAAAAGCAAAGGCACCTTGTTCTTCTTGAGTCTATAAAGTAGCAAACGGTCATTTGTGTTGTAATGAATAACAAAGAGATTTCAGAATCCCAAAAACATCCCAGGGAGACCGTAAGTACATACAGCTCACGAGACAGAAAGCTGTCTGGCCGTGTCTGGGGATGCCTCGAAACCTCTTACCTGTCTTTACTGTTTGCCAGCCCAGGGAGAATGGGCTGCGAGCCTGCAGGTTGTAGGCCGAGATGGGGCTGTGATTGTCGGCTGCTGGGCTCCAGGAGAGCGTGGCTGTGCTTTCTGTGATTTCCTCAACAATGACGATCCCAGGTGGGCCTGGGGGACCTAGAGGTCAAAGGCAAGGGACAGAGTTAAGCTCGGACCATGGTGAGGACCCACGAAAAGCTGCATTTCCAATATGGATCCCGTCAAGCTGTGTGATCATTGTAATGGAATATGTATTTAATAATGAAAACTGACAACAAAAGTCATGGGATGGATGTTGGAGTCCAGGATTTCTGGGGAAACTTAATTATAGATGTGATTTTTTTTTTCCCTGACACTTTGTGCCTGGAGGCAATTACCAATTAACATTATACTTTATAAAAAAAAATAATTAGAAGCAAACACCAGGATGTGCATGTCAATAGCAACTGCAGCTGTTGAAATCAATCACAGCTTACGGAGGTAGTTCCGGAAAGTAATAGGCTGTGCTGTCTGGAACAATCACGACCCCATCCTTACTCAAGAGCTAAAGGTAGATGGAGCTTAGCACTCATGTTTGGAGAACCCACACTGTACAAACACTGTGATATGTGCTACCAAATGGCTGAGATTCTAATGAGGGAGATAGAAGTTTCTAAAAAATGGTAGTATAGACAAGTAAGGACATATACCAGACAGGAGGTATAGATAAAGCTCTGTGGGAGAGACTATGGTCTATGATTAGAGCCTTGGATGGATTTAGAGTCTCTAATACTCGGTGACCCATCACAGAAACAAAGAACTGAGTACTACTGAGTGAGTGTTCTCGCTTGTAAGGGTTCCCTGAACAATTATCATAATACTATAAGAAATGGATTGGCAGTAGTGCAGCACTGCTGGGGGGTGGGTGTACACTTCATCCATAACGGTACCTGATCTCAAACCAGGTGAAGTGGAGACCAAAGGGAAAGCCCAAACTTTACCTGTACAATGTCCATTTGTATACTTAACCCTGAATTGTGCCCATCTTTAAAATAAAAAAAAAAAAAAAATTTAAGTGATTAGATTCCTTTTTGGGTTTTCTGTTTGTTTTGGTAGGAGTGGGGAAGCAGCAAATCAAAGAGGGTTAATTCCCTTTTGATCATGAAAAAACGGCATCGAATAGCAATGGCTAATCTCTGTGCACACGGACTTCATTTTTAAGAAAAAAATCATGATTTGACTTGAGGAAAAATGTGCCATTGTATTTTTGTTCCTATGATAGTGATTTCTAGTGACATTTGACAAAATGCATAATTATTGACATTTTAGTGGTTACAAAGCAGTGCCAGTTCTCCCACTGACATTCTTCCATTCCTTAACATGGACAAGGAAAGTTGCTAGAATGCTTTTATTTTGAATAAAAATAGTTAAATATTTTAAGTATTTTCGGGACAGATCCTTATGTAACAAGTTGCTCTCTGGATTTGGTGATGAGGAGACCTGAACAGCAAGAGCTGAACTAGACCGTGAGGAGTTAAGAGGCGAGTGGGTGCTGAAGAGAAGAGGTGTCAGTGCAGATCTGTGAGTAGAGAATGCCAACAATAAAGGTACAGTGAGATGGAAAAGGGGTTGAAAGTCTCTCTAGGTCAGATGGCGTTGCTAGGAAATGAGGGATGAGCATTTTTATCAGGGCTGGGAAGAACCGGCAGCAGATGGCAGAAACCAAAGATTTAGAAGACCAGGACTGTTCCATCAGGAAGGTGGCAGAATGTTGGGATTGTGGCCAAAGGCATAGAGGACAGCCTTGAAAAGCAGTGGCGGTTTGTCCTCTAAGATAAATGGAGGAAGAAACAGTGAAACAATAACACACGGAAAGTTTTTGAGACAGCAAGGGGAGAGGTCACAAGAGCTCACTTGGGAAATGCTCGTGGCTTTCACTCTAAATATTGACCTCCCATATGACCCCGCAATCCCCCTACTGGGAATATGCCTTGAAGAACTCAAATCACTCTATCAAAAAGATACCTGTACACGAATGTTTATCGCAGCATTGTTCACAATAGCAAGAACCTGGAAGCAACCATGCTGTCCATCAAAAGAGGACTGGATTAAGAAAATGTGGTACATATACACGATGGAATACTACGCAGCCATAAAAAAGAACAAAACCATGAATTTTGCAGCAACCTGGATGGAACTAGAGTCTATAATGCTGAGTGACCTCTCACAGAAACAAAGATCTGAGTATCACATGTTCTCACTCATATAGTGGACCTTGAACATCCG